TGTGTGTGTATATTTATATATACTGTATATATATATATATGTATGTGTGTATATATATATATATATATGTATATAAATAATCAAAGAAAGATAAATACAGTGTTCGAATAAAGAACATAATTATACATCGTGTAGCATAGTTCTCAACGAATGTAGTCCTGTAAATAAACAAGTAAATAAATTGTGTAATTATGTGCCTCTGGCAGGACTTGAACCTGTGACCTCTTGCTGTCAAGGCGAGTATCATAACCATTAAACCATGGAGGCTTCATGGTTGAACAGATTCAATTACCACCAGATACACTCCATTACACAATAGGTACGGCTAGAAACAGATAGTTGCATATAATATAAATCAAGATAGTTGTTAACACTGTTAAATTATATGTAAATCATCAAAGAAAGGTATACAGTGTTCGAATAAAGGACATAATAATAGCATAGCTCTCAACGAATGTAGTCTTGTAAATAAATGAATACAGTATAAACACATACATACATAGAAAAAAACTCTAAATTTCATTAACTCTACATAATGCAAACAAACATTATGTTCTGACAGTTGTTGTCACAATGAAGATTAGTAAATTGACAAATATATGAGACGAGCGATACTGTAGTTCAACATTAAAATGTGATCTTTAATACTATAACAAGATAAAATAAGAGCAGAAACACCAAGTAACGAATAATAGATAAATAAATAAAATAATTTAAAAAACAGGATGTGAGGAATTAAATTATCTCTTTTTTTTACTTTTATAGGTTGTACCAGACAGTAACACTCCTAAGAAATCTAACAACGTAATTACTAAAACAATGGAGTATATGTTTGGATGGTGAGGATCATCAGATACAACAACTGGACATTATTTTTTCCCCATGACTCAGTGGTCAATATCATAGAAACTGTTTTTTTAACTCAACTGTTCTACTGTTAACATCAGATGATCTCATTTTATTGTTTTTTAACATTATATATTTAATTTTAAGTATTATTAAACACAGCACAATAATGCAGTTAATAATAAAAAGGAAATGCTGTTGAAAATGGCAACTCGATTCCAAGGTTCAGAAGCGGTTGTGAGAGATACATATACATATAAATATTTTTTATCCTTATATAGCGTTTTAGATTGTTTACGTTTTATAATACTACAATCTCTATTCAGTTTCCTAATATAGTATTGGTTAGAATTTGTAGGGGACAAAAATAAAGTAAACTGTAAGGAAAATTTTGAGAACACTATATTATTCATGTTAATTTATGCCTTTTTCTTCTTTTAGGCAAGATTTTGAAAAATCTTTCCAATCTATAACAGGTTTAATCATACACTATTCTCATTTAGCAATGTGTGCCCAGAGGTTGATTAAAGTATAACTATGATAGTATTAATTTTATTATTAGACATTCAAATCAGTTCGCTCTCTGTGGGGTGAAGTGATAAATTATTGTACTTCAGAATGCATAAATATTGAGTCAATTTCATTTTGAATTATATTTATACAGCAATCATGTTTTATAAGATCAGACTGTAAGAATAAGGTCATTGGTAAAGATATATAAATACATATATAGAGGCGTGTACTGTATTTGTTAATTGCCTCAGTCACTATGAGAATTCAGTTTTAATAACCTTATGCGCTTTTTCTGTGCATGCAGTTTGAATATTAATAAAGAAATTGTACATTTATGTTGAGTGTTGTATAATTTTATAGTATAAAGTATGTATGAAATGTTTCATTGCTGTACAGTACATCATATTTAAAATACCAAGAAAGTTACTACAGTATATAGTTTCAAAACCCCCACATACACAATGTAATACATTGTACATTTGACCCTTCTGATCTCTCTCCTGGTGTTGGACACAGATGTACACAATACAATGTACTGTTAACCAAAACAGATTTATGTTACTTTCAATAAAGACCCTGTAATATTACCAAGATGTTCAACGTTGGGTGTCTAAACTGAAGGCCTTTTCTAACCCCGTTTTCCCTCTCAAAATTCAAATATGACATTTTTAAAGCATTTGTTTATAGAGGATAACCCTTCCCAGAAGGAATGTCACTAGTGTGGAAGGTTAAACACAATTCGTTGGGAGAGCAAAAAATCTAATGGTGAACGTGGGCCCAAAAAAGAAAAGCTTTCATGCACACCCTTCCTCCAGGTAGTTTAGAAACACCTTTCCCCACTTCTCATATACTGTAAAAGCAATTAATGTAATCCCAAATCACCTAATTTATAAAAAAGATTATTTACAGTGTAGGCCTAAGTACCATCATGTGCTAAAAAAGTAAAGAATTCAATTCTACATTTTTAATTGCTTAATTTGTATATTTATTTAAATTAAAATGAGATCAACATTTTCAACGTCAATTAACGTACACATAAATACCTTTGCTGTATTCCTTTGCATAGAATGTTAAATCAACAAATAAGGATTTTTGTAATATGTTTGTACAGTTTATATAAAAAGCAGCGATGCTATATTTTTTTAAATCTGTTTCTGGTTGGAAGTTAATAACTTACTTATTTTTATTGAGGTTTTTTGGTAGATAATAGGCCTACATCTTTAACAACACTTTTTAATCAAAAATCGGGAGAGCATATAAACAAAAAGAACAACTAGATAAAAATAAAACACAAAAAAAACACAATTTCCAATGATCTTTACCGTCTTTATATAAACTTCTAAACGGGAAGAAATAACAAAAGTGAACAAAAATAATAATTGTAAACAGCCAAATATTATATGAATCCAAGAATGGTAAATTAGGGTAAATTAGGGTAATAGAAACCAAAGCAATTTGTTTGAGCAAGGGCCCATATGTCCGAAGTGAACATAAATTTTCTCCAAACATTTCTGTAGTTCACACAAGGGATTTTCTCCACCAAAGTTGCTATCATTGATTTACTATGATTTTAATTGCGTATACGCAATACCATGACATGAAAAACGGTAGGCCTATGTATCCAAATGGTAAATTGGATCGAATCCTGACGGGGACATACATCTGTTCTTACAGAGTTTAATGTAATTTAGTATTATTAATTCATTACATAATACATAGGCCTACTACCTTGAGAAAAAAGAGTACAGATTAAAAAATCACTAGGCCTTGTAGTCATTTGGTAGAGTATCTCTATGGCAATCGAAGATCTTTGGCTCAAATCCCGATGGGGGCGTACGTTTTTCTCTAAAAAAAAAAAAAAATTATAATTGTCTTTAATTTATACTGTATTACCAATGGAGGTTTTTCATTATACCAAAGTTACTGGCTGTCATGTGGCTCTTACTACTCCTTATTAAGGGGAAATCGTGTCCTAACCGGGAAAAAAATCCATGGCTGTCATGCCGCGGCCCTGCCCCTCCCCCCCCGCATGACAGCCATGGATTTTTTTCCCGGTTAGGACACGATTTCCCCTTAATAAGGAGTAGTAAGAGCCACATGACAGCCAGTAACTTTGGTATAATGAAAAACCTCCATTGGTAATTAAAACACATCAGAGGTTATTTACTGGCGTCTAGGGTTCGGCCCCCACCTTTCGGACATGGATCTGGATTTACTCAGGATACATTTTCAGGCAGTCATGGGTACAATTTGTTAGGAAGGTTAGAGTTTTAATGGCATTTTTGTACACTTTTGGCAAACATTAATTAATTAATTAGTTGCTTTCCAACTTACACATCTAAATTAAAATGTACCGTAGTTGGTATAAGCCCAACACATTAAACATTGAATTGCGTCAGACGGCCCACATCATTTTAGAACATATTTACAATATACTGTTTTACGCTCTAGACATGCAAGTCGTGCAGGCTTAATCAGGGAGATGTTATTATGTTATTTTTACATCTCCCTGGCTCAATATTGTTTGCCCTTAAATTAGGCATACATGATGTTTTGATATCCACTCTAAAAAATTACCAGATTATGTAGGCCTACCGGTAATGTATTTAAGGGATTTAAAGGCACAACCCTTGGTTAACCTACATAAAATAATTATGATATAATTTGAAAAATGATCATTTTTAATTCGGTAATAATTATTTATCATTACTATAACAATGATGGTTATGACACGATGATAAAAATTACATAATAAGAATAAACACAATAAATAATATGGTTATTTTAAGGAATTGTGCAGCCCTCTATTTCAATGTACTTTTAGAAAATGCTGGGGCCCCTATCAGTAAAGTGCCATTATTTTCTGGGAAAAATATTTATTTATCTAATATACAAAAAACGATAACACAACACAAAGCTAAAACATCCGAAAATTTTACACGATGTCGATGTCATTAAAAAAAAAATTATTTTGTGAAATTGCCGCCGCAAATTATCGGACTTAAATATATTACCACCCCGACTCGACTCTGTATACCCTTCAGCAAACTTAAAATATTTATTGTAAAATGTCTTTTGTTGTAATAATCACTTCTGGTGGCTATTAATAGCGATATTAATGATAATTTTGTTGAACTGTCATTTAGGGAAAACATTTTTATTGTGCAATTCTTTCGATTTTTTGTAGTGTTTTTCCCCCTTCTTTTTTATCTATACCACCAGAGGGCAGCATTACCTTGGAGGGTACTACGACGTACGGATACGTCACACCGACTAAAGTTAACCTATGCAAATAAGGTTAACCTTTTATGTCAAGAAAGCGGTTACTAAAAAGTGCCGAGAAAGTGCAGAGAGTATTTGTCAAAAGTAGCTAAATTTTTATTTAATTGAGCATCTTTCATAGGTACAGACTATACCCAAGTCACATGAATATATGCCGAGATGTTGTCAGGTACAAGAAATTCTTTTCCTTTTTTAGATAAGTAATGTGCAGTCCTTTATCCAGCCAAGCTTTTTTCCTGCATCGTTGAAATAAGGACGAGCATAAGACTGCCTATCCTATAAGTTTATACTTATAGGCCTAGGCCTAGGCCTACTGTAAGCCTTTAGGAAAAATGGATCGCGTTAGGGATAGGATGGTTTTATAAAACGGAATAAACGTGCATCCTGCTTTAACTAAACTCATCTGATAGCATATATGCTATTGTGTAATCAGTTATTATGTCACCTGAACACTTCAGTGTTTTCTTTCGGTGGAAATTGAAGAATACTAATAGAATTTCTCGACGAGCCAGAGGTTTGCTAGGTTGACCTAGCTAGGCCTAGCCTATCCTAGGCCGTTGTTTACAATACCACCAATTATATTTTTCAAGGACCAGAGGCTAGCATTGGCTAGGGGCCTAGGCCCTAGGGATTATGACCGGTTGAGCCGCCGACAAGTTGAGCCGCCAGTCATTTCTATGGAACGCCAAGCGCATCTCTCAGTGAATGTAGTGCATTAATTGCGGCATATTTCAATTAACTTATTCGTTCTTGGTACTGTACTGTTGTTTGGGATGTATTTCAGTTTATTTACTCAATTATTTCAATTTATTTAATACTCGGTTTTTGCACTGATTTATTAAATATTTTTGGGATGTATTTCAATTTATTTACTTGTTCTTTATATCGTTTTAATTTAAATTTTGTGAGCATTTGCTCAGTCAGCTTGCCAGATAGTAAAAAAAAAACTCCATACATTCTTATCATTTATTATATATAAGTTTAACAAATAGTACAAAAATAAAAAGTATATAAATTACAAAACCATAGTATCATTATTGAGTGCTACGATTTTGCAATTATACAACTTCATATATTTTTATAAAAATGTAGTACATAAATATATTAACATTCTAATTTTCAATTACACAATTATACATCACGAACGGCAATACGAGCAAATCAACAACTGACAAGACTGTGGGATGAATATGTAGCTGGTATCCGGGGGGTTCATTCACTGATGACATCGGCAAGCCGACTACATTCACTGAGAGACGCACTACATTCACTGAGAGACGCGCTTGGCGTTCCATAGAAATTACCGGCGGCTCAACTTGTCGGCGGCTCAACCGGTCATATCCCGGCCCTAGGCATGATTGAATTGGAATCGAAAGGGGAATTGCCAAGTTTAATACGTTTAGTTGCTTTGATAATTTAAGCGATACGATGCTTGTCATTCTTGTGACTTTACAAACCAGACGGACAGTATATTTATTATTTGATAAGTATTAAGTAATAAAAAATTGCCAGATATTACTGCCCAGCTATAACACTAGGGCCTAGGCCATCTGTATTACTAATAATAGAAAAACTGTGGTGGTAGTTGATTTTTTTCCCAAATTTACACAGTGACCTTGACAAGTGATTTCTCTAAGAAATAATCGGGAATGTCTATACAGATTTTTGAATATTTAAAAACTAATGGAAAGGAGTGTTATGCCACTTTTTTCTCTCCTAAGCCTGGATGATACTTGTCATGCAATTTGAGACTTTTGCACAATTTGCAAATTGTGCAAGCTCTTCATTGCACAATTTGCAAACTGTGCAAGGATTTCTTTGCACAATTTGAAATTTATGTAGTTGTATTTATTTGATGGTGGTAAATCCTTAATAGATGCAATTTTTATTCTTATTTTTTTTTTATTGTAGCTTCCGACCGTCATTACGCACACCCTCACATGGCCTAAGCCAAGTCTTTCATTCCAATCGCTTAAAACTTCGGGAAATTGCAGTATTTCTCCCAAAAAATACAGTATTTTGATTTATAATCTAATAATAAGTTAATTTCAAGATCAGTAAATAAATTTAAATGTCACATTTTACAATAATTGCTGAAAGAAACCTTGCACAGTTTGCATACTGCGTGCTCAGTTTGAAACAACATCAGAAACTCAAAATGTGCAAAAGTAACAAAATGCACACAACATACTAAAACATGTCTTTAGCACTATTATTTTATAATACCATACTGTATCTGTTTGTCCATGACTGTGTTAATGATACAAACAGGGAGTTATAAACTTCCTGGTATACATAATTTATGTCTTTCAAAAGGGAGAATAATTTTGGTGATTAGGTTGTGTACTTACAGTAAATTTAATACAGATTAAAGTTCTTTTGCTGGAAAATTAAGTTTGCATAATTCATTTTCAAAATCTTTTGTTTAAGAGAAAATAACATTTAAAAAAATATTTATGTAAAAATATATTTTTCTACAGTATCATCACCTGTTTTGAAACGTCCTGAACCCATTAAGGAAGAAGTAGAGGAAGATATCAACTATTTTGAGGTTAGTATTTTCGAAAAACAAACAACATGTCTAGGAATATGGTACTGTACTGTATTTCTACTCCTATTTGCTAAAGGCACGGTCAGTGGCATTATGTCACCATCACCCAGTGAAGTGCCGGAATGTTCATGATGTCATCTTTTAAGACTGCTGCGTGCATTGCAGATCAACCATGCGGTGAGCGGCAGTGTGACGAGCAATCAATGTACACTGGGTACAGTATTAGAACATGATTAGCTAGGCAAAAAGTAAAGTATTTTTCTTATAATACTTAGCTGTCATTGATAAATACCACTCAGTAAGAGTCATGACATTTATATAGCTATATCAAACAAGGACTGAATCCTGGACCAAAATTTTGGCGTATGCGTTACTTAGCCTTTTCGTGTGGTGGCGGCCCTGATACAATTAATCTATGTGGTGGCATATTGTAAGTCATACCAGGGAGTTGTTGGTCATACCTGAGACAACTATACAAGGAGATTGGAAACGTGACTGGATTCTATTGTTCTCTAATTTGTGATGTCTTGTGTTTCATTGATATGCAAATAAGGTTGTTAAAATCGCAAGCGGGCAACTTCCACACACGAGACAAGCGGACATTTTCATGGCGGTATTGGATGTATAAATAATATTTTAAAAAAAATTTAAACTTTTACTTTGGCAATTTCTTTAAAAGGTAGGATACATAAACACATTGCAGTTTAAATGTCTGAAATTTATAGTCTGCGTTCATAAGGCTACAATAGGCTTTTAATTCGGCAACCCCTACCATCAGCCGTCCAGGGCTAGGCCTAACCGGGTCCCGACACTCGGTAAAATGCCTGAATTGAAGAAACACACTAAATGCATAGTACAGTTTACACACATTTATAAGCACATATATGTTCCGAAATCATTTACCATAACAGAAATGGTATTTTTGTGTGTACCTAGTACAATAAGTCATGTTCAGAATCAGAGAATACTGTATGTACATACAGTCCAATTGACATATTTTCGTATTAATTACTGCTTTTTGAGCAATTGAATGTTGGAAATATCAGCTATTAAAATACACTTTTCTCTAATATTCATGAACCTTTAGTCATTGACAGGTAATATACCGAAAGATTAGCTAAACCTGTTTGTACCTATATTAAATATCTTTATGGATTACATGATTATAAATACGAAATACTGCTTTAAATTATGCCCTAGTTTAGGCCTACAGTGTGGCCTACCCATTATAGGCCTAGGGGCATAGGGCCTTTTCGGCCGCGAACAACTTCGGCTACTATGTCAGGGACGCCTATTCGGTAGTTGTTTTCATTTACATGGCTCAGTGATTATGAACTGAGCATGCGCAGTAAGCATCCGCTTGGCTGCAACAGTGTTTGGTTAACTTGATTTGCATATCAAAAGCATGCAAAACACAACAAATCGCTGGGATGGAAGAACAAAGGAAATCTCGGGTCGTTTCCAATCGCCTTCTATAGTTGTCTCAGGTCATACCAATTCTGAAGTCCTCAATCCCCCCAAATTTCATCCCACTGAGTATACTCGAAATTACTATGCGTGACGCATTACAATCTGACCAAAATTTCAAATAGAGTACATGTGAATACATGTCATGCAGCCAGATTTACGCAACTTTACATACAAGTTGTACGTTGTCATGGCATGAGTAGAGTGATAAAGAATACAAATATTTTCAACTCATGTATCAATTTTTTTTTAAAGTTACACGATTTAATAATTTATTTAATTATTGAAATACACTACTGTACCAAGTTAAATTGTGTTAAATAAAAATAGCAAATTTATAATTAAACACCTATTTACTGTACAAACATTGTTCGATCTCTTGAGTTAACTGTTTATAAAACATGCGAACCAATTTGGGTATTCCCTTAGCCAAGGTTCCAGGCCCTAATTTTGGGTTACTCACTCTTTATTGCACTTAGTGCGCGCCATACTCGATTTCTTCTTTTTTTTTTTTTGATTAGTGCCTGGGCAAACGATTCATGCGTACGATTTCCCACATCAAATTCGATGTGGGATATCGTATGCATGACTGATTTTGTAAATAATGTGATTGGCTTACTTAATGCATATTAATTAATCTTGGTAAATTTTCAAAATTGAAGATGCGGATGTCTCGACTAGGACAAGCTAACCAGCTCCCTTCTTTCTGCCTACCTACTTGAATTAAAACAGAAAGTATATAGTTCTAGCCTGCTGAGAATGACTATGAACCAATAACCATAGTTATCCGTAAGATAACTTACAGGACCTTCTCACTGCTAGCTAACTAGAGAGATTGCCTTTAAACTTAAAAATAGGCCAAGCCTCTACTAGGCTAGGCCAACTACTTCTGACTACAGAGGCCTGAGCCATCCTCCTGGAAAGTTAAATTGTTGTTTTATTTGTAATGGTATGCCATTTAGTCTAAGCTTAATTGTTTTTGCCATTGCCAAAATTAGTCTTACTAGGGTCTATTCTAAATATTTTAGGCCCGTTTTATTAGGGAGGACTATTTTTAGTCATACCTAACTAGTCGATGCGAGTGACTCAGTTTCGTGGCTCCAAAAATATGAACATTTGATTGGTTGAAATTGTTTATTTCGGTCCGCCCATTTATCCAAATACGGAATGCAAGATTACGTCATTCTTTTGGCACCTGGTGCCTGCATTCAGTGTTTTACAAGTCTCTTATTCCGTCTCTAAATTAACTTTCTCGTTGGTGGCGCTGTCCAGAATGAGAAAAATAATAAAAAATAAAAGACTTGTGGCAAGTCTAGGGATTCCCTGTGAATTGATTTGACATCTAATTGATCCGTGTGTTGTTCAATAATAGCATTTAAAAGTGTAGAAATTCCTTTGTTTTTACAAATGTTTGTTTGGTCAAGCTAGTATTTTAACATTATCCCCCTTCCCCCACTAACAAGTGACCCTGGTATGACCCCTTTGGTTGATGTTATGTTTTCTTTTTGCATGTGATGGATAGGCCAAAAAAATCGGTAGTACTGTACTGCTCATTCTCTGGGAAATGTAGTTATGGAGGGATTGAGAAGAAAACGAAAAAGAGTGCCAGCTTTGTTTGGTGTACTTTATTTACACTAAAGCAATAGAAGGTGCCTACCTGTAGCAAGGGTAACAGTGTATCATCAGCCTGAATTGATGGAATGAAACTGTGTCAGTAAATCAAGAAATAGCTTCTATTTCTCTTGAGGGTTTTGTTAAATTTCGCTTCCCCCCACTCATTAATAATTAATCTCTGTACCTCATCAATCAACATCAAAGCCATGACATTGGGGCGACTGTTGAAATCACATGTAATGTGATATGACCTAGGCCAAAGGTTAATTTTTGCACATTCAGAGCTGTTTCTGATAAATTATCTGAATCTCATGAGCTAATTTATTGGGTCCTGTTTCTGTAGCGAAAAAAAACCAAATGGCTGCTCTCCAATAAAATCATGACTTAGCAAGTTAAAAATTGAATTAAAATATACATGTATTAATAACCAAACCTAGGCATTATTTAAGAATCTAAAAGTACTTATATAACATGGCCTATGCTATAACTCCCATGTTCAAGTTCCAATTGCTTTGTGTTCAGACATTTCCATGATGAGTTAATAAATTTGATATATTTGTATTTTCATCAGAATAAAACAAAGAAACGTCGGACAATGACAGATTTTAACACTTTCTGTACATGGGTGTTAGATTATGAGGCATCCCTTCAAAAAAGAGAGGTGAGTTACACAGTTTTAAGTGAATGAATTTAAAGTAACAAATGCCTAACCACACTGTGGAAGATTTATAAATGTATTAATTATTTCTTTATTTATTCTTTCTTTCGACTAGATAGCATTTTCAGTAGCGCAGTACTGCTTTTCAAAATGGTCGTTTTCTTAACAAAGTTAAGAATATAAACAGAAGTACTGTAAAATATTAAACAAAACACGAAAGTATCAAAATAAAAGAGAAAAAAAAATGAAAAAAAACCCCCAAATTAAACATGGCACAAAAATTGATGTATAAAGTTCAAATTGCAAAAAAAAACCCCTTATAATAAAAGTTGAATTTAAAGTAAATTAGCACAAACAGTTTTTTTGAAATTGACTATGGTCATACTAGTTGAATTTTTTATGATTTTGTTTGGTAGATTATTCCAAAGCTTGGCTGATCGGTATTGAAAGTTTTGTTTTCCTTGAGTATTTTCCCAGTTTGGTAATACTAATTGTTTTATTGCTTTGACTTCGAATGCATTTGGGATGGATACCATCATTAAACATAAACATTGAAGATAAATATGATGGTGTATAACCATATATAAACACTTAAATACAACTACAAGTAAATATTCTCTCCATCTTTCATTTAGCAGTTTTCAACTTAATGTATCTAATATATCACTTATTGGAGTTTTTATATCTACAGATAGCAGAACTCTACCTAATCTGTTTAGTAAAGTTTGAAGTGAATTTAAGTTTTGAGTACTACAGAAAAAAATATAGCTTTTTACTACCCCTACTGGCAACCAAACTATAAGTAAAATTTATTAAGAGAAATCAGTTGGCACTGCGGTTGCTCTTGGTTTCTACCTCAAGGTCAAGGGTTCGAACCTTTGCTGTGCCCTTAAAATTCATTTACTCTGCGTGTGTCTCTCCATCCAAGAGTATACTTGGGTACATGGTTGAAATATACTGGGGTAGTTAAAAAGGTGACGTTTGAAGGAATTGTCTTAGTACGATGGGCTTCTCGCAGCTCATTTCCCTGTGTTCATTAATGAATATGGGACTAACTTACCTTTTACTAAGAGGTGTCTGCACACATGTACAATGTAGGCAGATCAGATTCAATCATCTATTCCCAAGACTCGAAATTACAGTACTGTAGAATTCTTGTGTACACATCCGGCTGGTATGAACTTTAAAGGACCAGTGCATTTTTCAGGAGTTTATGAGGCTACCCTGGTGTGTGGTTCACCTGTTCATGTGTGTCTACTGTGCACCTCTTTCTGTGCAAGATGATATGCAGAAACTGTCAACCTAAGTGATGTTAATATGGCAATATCTAGTCTTAAGATGAAAATTGAGGCTTTAGGGGCGTGATAACATGAAATTAGACATTGCCGCATGCCCATACAGTAAAATAATTTTGTGCTGTTATTTTCTGTGATATATGGTTTGGAAATTTATGAACCCTGTACTATACTATTCTGGTTTATTTATTAAAAAAGAATAACAAATTTAATGTTGCTGGAAACCTTTTCTTTGTGTCGAATTGTATGAGAATCCAGGCGAGTTTGGATTGCCAGGTGATATTTAGGATAATTGACTTGTTTATTAACGGAGTTAAATATCAATGATTGTAATTACCTGTACCTCTATTGTAGAGCTACTGTTAAAAGTATTTCAATATACAGTGATTACTAATGTTTTTTTTGTTTCTTTCATACTGGAGAAATGCAACAATTTCAAACGTGGACGAAGCCCTCTTGATAGCGAGGGGAACAGCTTAGCCAGTGGGTCAGAGATAAGTTTGCCTTGTGTTTCCCCACGGAGAATCAACGGACAAGGTAATAACAATAGTTCAAACGGTTCTGTGTTGGTGTGCCATTCAATTGAGCAGCTGTAGTTGCTGGCTCAGTTCTTGATTCTGTTTGCCCTTCCTTTGCTGAGGACCTTACAATCAATGAACACCACATTCGACAAGCATTTTATCCAAAGTGTTTATGACATTTCTGTTAATCTTGGTCTGTGTAATTGTTTTGATGTGATTCAATTGTAATCTTATTTCTTTATCTTTGTTGCAGATGAGGATTGGGAGTTAATAACATGTTACTGCAGTAAACCTTTCGCTGGTCGACCCATGATTGAATGTTCTGAATGCCTCACATGGATTCATTTATCATGCGCTAAGATTCGCAAGACAAGTGTTCCTGATATTTTTATATGTACAAAATGTAGGGACTCAAAAGTAAAAGTTCGTAAATCTTTTCGCGTTAGAGAACCAAAGAAGCATTTTAAAGAACTGTACCCGAAAACATAGTTTCAGTAGTGAATGTAGACTGGGTTTGTTATAAAGGGTTACTGGTCAGTATTGCACATTTTGAAATGAAAGAACATTTTGGTGCAGCTGTTTTTTAGTTCTTTAAATCTGTAAATATGCATAAAAAACTGTATCAAATGGCTACATCAAGGTACTGTTTATTATATATGTATCAATATATTTTACCTTTTTTTTACCCTTACCTGACATTCTGTTAACCATCTAATATTTAATTCAATTACTTTAGAAACTCTGTAATAATTTTAGTAGTAAAAGAGGTATAGACATGAAATATGGCAGTGCACCACACCACAGCACATGGTGAGAAGATCTGAATGCTTCATTTCAACAAGAATATATGTTGGCCAGATATTGGTTATAGTTTAAGTTACTTAAAAATAGTTGAATACTTTAGATTATTACTACTGTATGAGTTTGAAAGTAAAATTTGTTTCTTCCAAACTTTAAGATGTTAGGTCTTAAAAAGGGTAGGTTAATCAGTTTTGGAGATAAAATGTACTACTGTTTATCATTTAGGAGAATTTAATAACCCCAAGGCAAGAATGCTCATCATAATCCTGCCTTCCATTCTTGTTATTTGGGTATTTAAATCTGCCATTCCCATATTTGTATGGCTTACAGCCATTCATATAATGGACAACTCAGGATGTTTTTATTTTTGACAAGCATAGAATGCATACAACTATATGTATGTGAGAATGTCAATTTAAACATATTTGAATCTCAATTGTGAAACTAAGATTAACTTTATAATTGATATAGAAAAATAAGATTATTATTCTGCATCCTCTCGTAGATGAGAGGTGGTTAAAGTACTTTCCTCAGCACAATATGGTCAGGCAGGCTCCAGATAACTTTCCCCGCCCTCTCTCGGATCAGAAAGGTTTGGTCTGTTGGTACATCCTTTCTTTTTTAAGTACCACCATAGGACCATGGAGGTGTTCAAAATATTTGCTTATGCTACTGCCCACCATTGGTAATTTGTGGCTATCATTTTAGTGGTCTGAAATCATGAATTTAATATAGTATGTGTATTATGTTGCCTTTAAATGTTTCATCTGATATAGTCTCAAACTCCAAATAGTGTCAATATAATGATGATAATTTTCTGTAAACATATTTATAAAATTGTTTAGGTACTGCAATTATACTATAGATAATTTAGAAGAAAATAGTTTTTATTTTTAATTAATTTGGAGTTAATATTCCTATTCAATTTTTTCAAATTATATTCTTGCAAATAGATGTTGAACAATATCAGGTCACTGAAAAGGTTTAGTACAGCCTTAGCTTTATCTATTTTTTTTATTCAATTTTTGCAGACCGTTCACCATATAGTAATGAAAAATGTAACAAAATGAGGCATGTCGTGGCGAAATGGTTAAGTTGTCGCACAGGCCAGTATTGAGTAAATGAGCTATAAAATATGGGAGCTCAAAAAATTGCCTAAAAATCCAAATTTTTTTTTTTCACTATAGATCAACAGTTTAATGTCTTATTTATCATGTCCCAAAGTATCAGTTCTGAAAGTGGTTAACAAATCATTTATTTAATGTTATTTAGATAGTTAATTCTATTAAACAATGTGTGCACAAATAACTTTGGAAGGCAATTACTCAAAATCATGTTTATCTTGACTCTAAGAGTGCTGCACTTTCACTTTTCAGTAACTTAGGCTTGAAATGTCCAATTCCAATGAATAACCTCTCATTTTAAAGATCACATACTTGGGTATCTGAAAATACCAATAACTTGAATTTCAATTTTTGCTACAACTTAGTCATTTCGCCACAACATTGCTCAAATGTTTATAATAAAACAAAACAGACTGCTGAGTTTCACTACTTTCAACACTAAAAATTCAGTATAGTATCTATAATTATAAATCAGCGGTTCTTAAACTATGATTGTCGCCAAATAAATTAAAGGGTCGGAAGCCTCTTTAAAATTGAAGTTTATATCCTGCAAAGATTTACCGTAGTATAGAATGCGCTCTCTTTATAAAGAGAGCGCATTCTATGTACCATTAATTTTGAGTTTCTGTTCTGGGAGGTGTGTTGTAGCAGATTGCTTGACGTTTGTTGTGGTCATCAGCTAAAAAGTTTGAGAACCGCTTCTATAAATGGTCTCTTTTTTTTTTTCTGTGATATTTGAAGCTGTGAGAATATCTGATTTTCTATATGGTTGTGATATGCCTATATATGGTGGAAAATCACATATAATTATCACTGCAAGCTTTAATGGTGTGAACAGCCATTTAGGTATTGTTTGCAAAGTTAAGTGTTACATATTCTCATAACAATGTTGCATTTTATACGTGTTATCCTGTAAAATTATTTGCCAAACATAAGTTGAATTTTTACCATTTTATTCTCAAGTTTTTAAATCATTGGTTGACATATGTATTAGCATTGCATTAAGAAATTTACAGGTAGTGGTAAGATAAGATTAATAAGGTCTTAGAAAAAAATGGCTATGAGTGAGAATAATGCAACATGCCTCATATCAATTGGTTGTATAAATATAAAGTTTCTGAGGGAACTGAAGGGCTATGTCTGTGTCCCTGTCACTGATGAACACATTAGTGGGTACTTGCTTTTTGAAGAATGATGTAGGCTTACTAATTTACTCATGTTGAAGCTAAATTCATGCAACTTAACCATGTATTTTAAATAGTCTGATGAAGTAGATGGAGCATGTATTCAAATAGAAGAGAAAACAATAAAAGAAATGTTAAGAAATGAATATAAAAACATTGCCACTGTGATTTTTAACAAAGTAATTGGTATATTATTTAACATAGCCTTTAATGTCGTGGCAATAACTTACAAGAAGAAAGGAAGTAGGAATGATAGGTTTGGTTTCTTCCATTTAACTCATTGTAACAAAAACTTATTACGGTATTATTTAATAGTTATTGTCAAAATAGAATTACAGGTATAGTTTTTTATCTTGCGAAATTTTTGAATTTATAAATTTTTGTTTGTATCTATTGTACAATATTAGTACTTTATGTATTGTGTTTCTAAGTGTTTCTAATTACTTCAGTATGAACATATTTATCATATTTTAACTAAATATATCATATTGAATACATTTCTTACACTTTTTATACACAGTAGTACTATATTTGATTTTTTTTTACCCTTACATGTTTTGATCTCAATTCTTGTTGGTTTAAATAAGTTTTCCTCAAGGAATCAATAAATATGAACATTCATCATGATTGATTTATAGAAGAAAAATCTCCGAAGTGATTATTTGTTTATTGTTTTTAATCCATTTAGTATATTAGTATTAGAAACTGCATACACTGTTTATTTTTTTTTTTTTTGGTATTTTTAGTTTTGTGTCATAGATATTCATATCTTTGAGCTGTTAAACTAGGTAAATTGTTTTATACCATATGTGACACAAATGATTACTTTTTATCATATTCTTTTTTTTATAAATTTTATTGATATCCTCATTCCACAGTAACAAACTGAATTTCATGGAGCATTATATAGAAATAAGTATTGATTTTTAGTTGATTGGTTTTAGAAATGTGTGATGAGATTTTGCTGTAACAGAAAAAGTTCATTCCCACAATTTTGCAGCGGTTAGCCACTACATTTGAGAATGTTACCTTTTCTCACTCATGTTTTTGACTTTTCATATTCCCATGTTTCTGGCTTTAATGGCTGAAGTAAATAAAACTAATACATTAATGAAAAATGAATACTCTAGGTATTTAAAAATGTACTCATAAAGGTATTCTAAATTAACATTATACTGTTATGCTTACTGGTTCTGTTTTATTCCATTTCACTTTTTAGCTACTGTATTTATAGTTTATTTCAACTTCTTTCAAATATATTCTATGTGTATTTATAAATTAAACAAGCTTTTCAGTGATGCGTACTGTTGTGTCTTTTGTTGTTGAATGAACATTAAAAAAAAAATAAATTTATTTTAAGCCTCCAATCCAGAGGATGATGTTTCTCTTCATTCATTCATTCATTCATTCATTCAAATTTGCAATTAAAAGAAAATACAATACAATCATAAATGCTGGCATGAAAATGGAGCAAATATAGCTCATTAATGTTTGGTTAATAAAAATTCATTTTGAATATAATAATTTTAGTAGACTCAACTTAACCCTAAAGTAATTAATAGTTTATCCCTTCATACAGCAAATTTTAATTATTATCATTAAAAACTAATTGATGATAACTATTCAGAAATTCAATGTTATCTCAACTGGCAGCATCAATGCTGACATGCATACATTCAAATACAGTATACAGAAATCGAAAGTATCAAAACCTTTAAAACACAAAAATTGTTTAAATTATTTAAAAAAATTATTAGGTCAAACAAGTTAATTCTACCTGCAAACTAATAGATATAAAAAACAATGATACTGGTAGGTCAAACATTCTGTTTACATAAGAAATAAAAGTTATATCAGTTATGTCATCAAAATATTTACATTTAAATTTATTAAAAGTATAATTTTTAATTTCTGTGTATTAAAAGGAATAAATAACTCTGATTGACAATGCAATAATTATCTCAAGTAATGTACTTTAGGTTTTACATAATTATTTCCTCAACCAGTTTTATTAAAAAAACTGCAGAAATGGAAGGTTCCATTAACTCTACCACCACGCCTAGCCTTACGTAGGAGACGTACGCATGAACGAAGCTGTGTTTCCGGGTACAGTAGGAAGGTAGTGCGTAGGCTAGTACACCACGGGCAACGCATTGACTTATGTCTTGACATTGGCTAATTTGTTTGGAAAAATTTCATCAAAATGTCTCGGCAGATGAATCAAAGCCAGCAGAAACTTGCTGAGAAGTTAACCATCTTAAATGACCGTGGCATTGGAATGCTAGCACGCCTTTATAACATAAAAAAGGTAAAGTATACTGACTGGCCATTTCTGAACATGCAATGCTGGCTTAGGCCTATCTACAACGCAGGGTAAGCTAGGTCCAGGGACAACTTAAACAATGGGCAGGCCTGGGCTTAGCTGTGTTACGTATATTCTTCCTATAATATTCCATAGGCCTTGGGTAGTGCATTTAAGATAGTGAGACTGAAGTTTAGGTAAGGGTCAAGCCAACTTCAGTACCAATCAAAATAATCAACACCTCGCTCGGATTTACGCAAAATCGTCGAAACAAATCCAATTCAAATCATTTTGATCTTGATAAAGTGGATGTATCACTAAAAAAAATATAGGCCTAGGCCTAGGCCTGGCTAGGATGGTTTCCTTAAAATCGCTACTCTGTCGCTGTTTTTTTTTTTTTTCGCAGTGTCTATTCTTATGCTAAGGCGTAAGCATTACCTGAAGTCTATGTTTACGCCAATGCTACAAGCCTATGCTTACCGATCCTACTGGCATACCTGCGAAGAATAGCGTTCGCGGACAACCCATGTATATTCAGAGCCGTAGATAGAGATTGGCCAACTTAGTGCATGGCGCCATGTTGTTACCAAACAGTGTGCGCGCGCGTATTAGCTTTATAACACTTTATAACACTGATGCTTGCATAAACTTTCTTTTATTATTCTGTTCATGAGGACAATTCAATCATGGGATTTTAATATATCCTATCGCGTTAGTTTGTGGCTCGCCAATGTTTTGTTGCCATAAACTAACGCGATAGGATATATTAAAATCCCATTTAATTGAATTGTTTTTCTAATTATATATGGCTGCTAGGCTTTTCAACAAGTTATTTACTTTACAAATATTTATTATTTTAAATAAAAATCAAAATTAGGTAATTTAAAAAAAAAAATACATTGCACTTTTATGAAAAGGGATTTTTAAAGCAAAATTAGCCTAAAAAAATATATATATATATATATATATTTTTTTTAAAATTATTTTTTAAAAGTTTTGTTAGTATGGACCATGGTATTATTGCAAATAGGGGTGGATGAGCTTTTAATTGCACATGGTTATAACTGGGAAATAATTTGGAGATCGTCATCTAAGGTTCTTTAATATTAGAAGTTTCACAGAATTTCAGTGTAAATGTTTAGAATTTACACTAGCGGAAACATGGTTTTCATAGTAAATATTGTGTTATTGGCGACATCACATATATTTACAATGAACGGATGTTATCTAAATGTATATAAATCAGCGTTTATTTTGGAAATATGTACTGACTTCGGTAATTAAGGGCCAGTGCACACGTGTGTGCAGGCAGTGGGAAGATGGACCTCTCAGCTAAACACATAGATGGTAAGTTAATTTTCACTTTCATTTCAGCTATTCGGTAAATATTGTATTTGAATCTAAATAATATTTAAATTGAAAATGTGAAGTTATATTTAAGTTTTAAATGCAGTTTTCGAATTACGAAAACATGTACGAATACCTGTGTACCCTACATTAGGGAATGGAATAAGACTACATGTACGCAATGATTACCAATTTGGGTTGTACCATTTTAGGAAATAGGGTGTTAAATATTAATATTGTACAACATAGACACATAGTCTGTACTATAGTACATTGAATCAAATGCATTCTTTAACCATTAATTAGTGATAGATAGTGACTGCATATTAAATTATTACATAAAATAGAAAAAAAAAACACACACAGCAGTATTTATTTTAAATTTTGAATACACAGTACTATAAAAGACATTTTTATTTTCTCCATCCATTTTCAAAAGTACAGCAGTAAATAGACTCATAATAATTTCTATTTTTATATGCCCCGGCACTCATGAAAAAAAAAAATTACTATTTTTTATGTTTAAAAAAGAAACCAATCATTTTTCCATTATAAAAAAAAATCAAAATAATGATGACTTGAAAGATTGCCAAATCAAAAATGGCAGAATACAATTCAAAGATTCATTTACTTCTTTTACAGTTTATGTACTATATAGTGACGTACATACAGTTGAAAATTGTTGCTGGAAGCATTTTATGGAGAAAATTTTCATGGTTGGAGGCACAAACATTATATTCCAGGATTGAAGGTAGGATACAATACAAAATGATGACGAGAATATCACTTTGTGATTTCTATATTAAGTATTGTTGTGTGGTGATTTTTAATGATTATTAAACAAATCTGTGGAAAACAAAGGGTCAACCAAATATTAGCTGTGGAACAAATTTTACCAACCAAGAAGCGTCCAACAAGATTAATGAACATTTGGCTCTTATTTGTCAGCAACTTCCTCCATTGGAAATTGAGCAACTGCCTTCGTACTTACCAGCTAGGGAACCTCCGCCTCAATTATCTATCGGGCAAGTGATAGAGAGCTCCTTAAAGTAGAACAAAAATAAGCTGTTCCTCCAGGTGACTTACCTTCTACCATCATCTAGTGAAATTGCAGAGCCTCTTACCATGATTTTTAATTCGTCTATTTCTGAATCTGTTGTCCCTTCATCATGGAAGTTGGCTACAATTATACCCATACCAAAAGTAAATGGTCCTGTTAGTATTGATCAAGTCAGACCAATTTCTCTGACACCAGTTTTTAGCAGAATTTTGGAACACTTTGTGGTCTCATGGCTTAACTCAGATCTCTATAACATCATTGACAGAAAACAGTATGGTAATGTTAAGGGAGTCAGCACTAATCATTACCTTGTAGGCCTTCTACATTTTATTCTTAATGGATTGGACAAACCGGATCATAAGGCGCAGATCCTTGCTATTGACTATAGTAAAGCATTTGATCAAATCAATCATACCATACTTATAAATAAATTAATTTATCTTGAAGTTTGAAAATCTGTTATTCAGTGGTATTGTAATTTTTTATCATAGCGCCAACAGAGGGTGTTGTATCATTGCATACTGTCTAGATGGAGCCCAATCACATGTGGTGTGCCACAAGGCACAAAGTCAGGACCAGCACTTTTTCAAGTAATGGTGAACGATGCTGCTCTTGACTGCCCTAGAAGATGGAAGTTTGTAGATGACCTTACTTTAGTTAACATATCTAGGAAAATTGAAATTGATAATTTAAAACATCATCTTAACAGTTTGTTAGATTGGAGTAATTCTCAGCAAATGCTTTTAAATCCTAAGAAGTGCTTCACAATGGTAGTATGCTTTAGTAGAACTCCCCTGTTGCTGAGCCTCTTACCTGCAATGACTCTGTGATCAAATCCGTTTCTGAATTAAAACTGTTAGGCATTACCATTCAGTCTAACCTAAAGTGGAATACCCATGTTAACCCACTAGATACCGTCTTCGACTGTAGTCGAAATTGACCTCAAACCGAGAATTCTCATTTTCGACTGCAATCGAAATCTAGTGACTAAAATATAGGTGGTTTTCAAATCGCTCTTCTGTTTTTTATTTTAGATCCAATACGTCAGAAATTTTGAACACGCATGTGTGAAGCTTTCTTCTTTCGAAATCTGTGAAGAACTCACATGCGCTATATAAAAATGTTTAGAAATATCAATTTGAAATCGTTATTAATTTCGAAAATTTTCCGAAATGGCTGCACAAGATGTGTACACAGCTGAGGAAGCGATTGACCTGATTTGTGATTCAGACAGCGATGAAAGTGGGTTTTTAGTTGTGCGAGACTTAGACGTGCCTGAGCCTAGGCCTAGAAATGTGAGGGTGGTCGTTGCTTTTGAATGGAAAGATCGTGCTTATAGTTATGGATGGTTGGGTAAATAAATTATATAACTGTGTGGAATAGGAATGTTTTATATTTGTTTTTATTTTTTTTTTGGCTATAATTTATTTATTTATTTTTTTGGTTTTTGCTGGTTTTTTAGATGGGCATTACCTGAATATCTACCACCTCGTCGTAACATATACTCGTATAAATTTGAGAAATAGCAATAATATATCTAAATATGCGTGTAGAACCGAAAGATTTAAGAAATCATCTTTGCCGTTTATTGTTGACAACCATTTATACTAAAGCTGCAATATTTCATATTTTTATATTCAGAATTATTTTTACTTCACTCAACTGTTTTGTACATTATTTAATCAAATTGACATTCCTTCCTCTATTTTTGTATTAATTAAATGTTATCTCAATTTTTTAAATTTTTAATTGTTAATTGTAATTTTAATGTTTTTTCTTTATGAACTTTTTAGGAACAAATTTTATCGTAATTTTGTTTGTTTGTCTTGGATTTTTCATTGCTCATGACTTGAGCGTGTGGTCTTTTGTGATAGTTGCAATTTTTATATTGAATACTTTTTGCATGTTTATATACTATGTTGTGCTTTGTTTTGTTTATGTTGTTTGTCTTTGCTTAATTTTGTTAGATTGACGCAATTCAGTTCATACTGCAATGTCAATTTTTGTTGTTTTTTAATAATAAACCAGAATGAATGAATGAATGAATAATACTGTATATCACTGAAATTTATTGTTATCACTTTTTGTTTTGTTATAGGGAATATAAAGAAGGTACTGGTATAATACCTGTCCATGGGAAGTGAATGTCACAATCCCATCATCTGACACGTTTGACTGAAGGATGGCTTGAACAGAGTGGTATTGGATGGAGGGTTGTTGTTTTGCATAGTGTGTTCTTTTAAGACACAAACATGCCTATCACAATTACGACACTCTAACAAGCATGTTGTCAATTGATGAAAAATGCCTGTCAACTGATGTTGTGTGTGCCTTCCTCTTTTTTATTTTTCACGGGATTGACGGGAGGAGGAACGGGGCCCCTGTGGCCCTTCGCTGGATCCGCCCCTGCATGATGTCATAGAGAGATTGCGTCAAGTAACACTGGAGCTCGTAAACTTGTGGTATCACCACTTAAATAAGTCGAAATAGACAGACCTCTCCGTGGGTATATATATAAGGCTGTATAATAATATTGTTTATAATGGCTATATAAAATTCAATTTACTAACTGTATTTTTTTTAATTGGGAAAAAACATT